TGTTAAAAACACTTCCACCCCGCGTAAGAGAGCGTTTGCAGGCATCTTCAGATAAGTGCTGAATTTAAACTGGAACTCTGCATCATTGCAGTCTATACGCCTGTGTATCTAAAGGGCTGTAGAGGTGAAGTGAGAGAGAACAGTTCACAAATAAGTCTTAAAGTTAAATTCATTGAACTGAGTTGATTGTATTGGAAAAGACAAATTTACTTAGATTCCAGCAAAAAATGCAGTCTTGAAAAGGTAATCATATGTTTGAAAAATCTGAATTGTTGGTTGGCTTTTAGTGGTTGAAATAATTCAATTAAATGTTTATGATAATATCGAAACGGAGGAGTTGATTACCTGGCTATAGTGAGGGTGTATATACTTTTTTCCTGTGGGAGTTCTTTTCTGTTAATAGTGATAATTTTAAAGAGCTTCATCTCCTGCCACATGAGGTCTAAGAACTGTCTGGAATTAGTTTCTGAATGTGAACTCTTCACTAACTTAGAATATATTAAATTAAGAGTTTAAACTGTTTGAGCAGTTCAATTGCATGGGTTATACTGAAAGTAATTTTCCAACATACCTTAATCTTAAAAGCTTTTGACAAGTACTGAGCATTAATTCTATAATTGTGGAAGCTGCCATTTGAATTGTGCTATTAAAACCAGTTGGGCAAAAACACCTGAAACCAGTTTCAGTATTTTGTCTTAAAAATAGTAAATACAAGTTGAATTGTTGCCTAGAAATTGGAAGAATCAGAAGAATCTGGAATAACTGTGGTGCACATGTATGAGACAGCAAATCTTACAGTACTGATCTTCATAGGTAATGATGGCAAATAGAACGCAATCTAGTTGCAGAGTTATCTTCTGTATGTTGTGAGCATTGCAGGTGTTATGTTGTGTATGTTGCTGTTTAACGTGTTTTATAACTTCTCATTACTGACTGCCTCAGTCCTGCTTCTCTGTACCCAGCTAGTCTATTCTGGTGTCTGGGGAGAGGATGAAGAAAGTTGATATTAGTGACAGAAAGACACAGTTAAACCCAATAGTCATGCAGCTTATACTTGGGGGGGGAAACAGGAAGCATTATAAGCTTTGCATATTCTAGGGATATAGTTCCATAAATCATAGTGATGGAATGAGCTCTTATGCCATCCTTAATACTTGCAAAACTGGATGGAAATAAAATGGTTCCTGACTTCATTCTTCCGCTGTGCGCTCTTTTATTGTATTGAAGTCTTAACTCTCATGATGTTTAATCATGTTCACTAAAAATACAGGTAGTGCTCCTGGGGGAGAAAAAGAAAGCACGCTTTCCAAAAACATATTTGACTTCTTTTTGTGTCAAAGTTTTCAAAACCAGTCTCAATAATGGGTTAAATAGATGAGGTAAACTGTGTTCTTAATGCCTGTGTTCATCAACCGTGCATTCCAGTTTGTAATATCAAATCATCACAGATAAACCAGTTTTAGTACTAAGACTATAGTCATCTCTTACTCCCATTCCAGTGCCACTCTTTCAGAGAGTTAGGTTTACTTGGAATGAAAATGCCAAAACCAAGTCTGCTCAACATGGAAGTAGGAGATGTCTCTGCAGCAGCAGTGCAAGAGATGCATATTTGTTTACTTCACTGATGGCATTCCAAAGACCTTTGCAGTTTGAGCACTTCTCAGGGAACCAAAATGTGGAAAACCTACTACTTTTTAGGTAGTTCTAGAAATGTTTTGTGTAAGCTGATAAGTTGTGTTTATGTGCAGACTTGTGTTGCTGGAACAGTCTTTCATAGCGTCCATATGTATCTTCCCAACTTTCTCAACTAATCTTGAGCTGTTTCATAGTTCCATGGGAACTGACATGGTTCACAAACAGAGCTAGTTGTGATCTTTCTCAACTAATCTTGAGCTGTTTCATAGTCCATGGGAATTGACATGGTTCACAAACAGAGCTAGTTGTGACAGATGTGATGAAACCAGAGCACGTTGGTGTGCACCCCTGTGACAAGAGTGTTGTTAATAATTGTAGTAGGCCTGTCAGAACTTTGTAACTGAACATTGAAGAAGGCTTTGTGCCAGAACTTGACACACAAGACTTGCAGTCTAGTGGCTTTTAAAAGATTAAGCAAGCATTTTCTTTAAAGCTTTTATTTCTGAATTGGGAAGCTGCATTGAACAAGTTAAAGAAGCAAGCAACTGGCTTGGCCAAAAACTTCCACTTCTTAGCAGTGCACCAGTCCTTTTCCATAAACAACAAAACTGATGGAGGTGAAAAATGATCTTAGATGTGCATTTTGAACTAGTTCTGTCAGTGAAATAACAGAAATAACTGGGAGAAAGGTACTTCATTTCTAAATAGTGTAACCTCAAAGGAGCTGTGGAAACATTAAGAAATACGTAAGAATGTAAATACTGTTTTATACTTCTTCTTTCTTTATTGCAGACTTTAATATTTTTCTTACTCTGCATCCCCTCAAGGGCTGGATTTTTTCCCCTGCATGTTTGAGTGTTCATAAAACACCCAGACAAACCCCAGAAAGGGTAAAGACTAGAATCTCTAGCCTTGCTTTCAAACCACGGCGTGCCTTTATTGTCCATTTTTGTACTATGAAGCCCAATCCTAGTGCTTAGAATTGAAGGTTAGAGACAAATATAGCAGAACTTCCTGAATTCACTTCAGCCATGTCCTTAATAATCAATATTTCTTCAAACTAAGGGGGTTTTCAGAGAATCAATACGCGAATCCACTGTCATAAGCTTTGTACAATGAGTATTGTTGGCATCTAGTCTTTGTATTAAACAATTGCTTCCTGTCGACAAAAGGCTTTCCAACTTGTGTGTGTTGTGTGTAAGAACTTTGTATTGTGACCTTCCGTATCGTGAACATTTCGTTTGAATAATTAAATTTTTTTGCCATTACAATTCTATGAACTGTTCTTTATTTTCCATAGGAGATGTTGCATTTAATGCAAAGCTCAGAATTCTGCTTCCAGCTGTCCGTACTGATGTGCTAGTCTGATAGCTCCAGTTGGGAACCTGGGTTTAGCTTTGTGTTTTAAAGTCAAGGGAAAACCCCAAACACTCAAGTGATGTTACGTATTCAAGTGTGAGCCTCTTATCTTGTGAAATAAGAACCTTTCTAGCAAGTTTTAACAGAACTGTGGCCCTTTCTTCTTGCAGGTGAAATGAAATAACGAAGAAAAAATGACTTGGGTTTACCTGTTCTGAGGTGGGAGTGTTAGTAAGATAAGGAAGATGATTCTTCTTAAAGCTCTTCCATGTTCCATGCTCCTGCAGATCCACGTATTTTGTTTTCATGGCAGCTTATTGTAGTTCTAATGATTAATTTCTGTAACCAGTACATTTACATCATGCTACCAAACTTCCTTGGTATGTAGACTTTCCATCCTCAAGACTGTGACCTTGAAGTTCATTCTGTAATCGCTTTTCCCTTTTCCCTTTCCACCCCAGTAAATGCCAGGATTACAGAAACCAATATAGGAACAACTGAAGAATTCTACTAACAAATACAGGGCTCCATATCCTGAAAGCAGGAGGCAGTACATGTCATTCTAGGGATTGTTTACATGAAGGATTTTACAGAACTTTGGGTGTTTGTAGAGATCAGGAATTAATCAAGCTCTAGCTCTTCATTTGGCCTTGTTTTTTGGGTATATGAGACACCTCAAATGTGAAAGCACACTCGTGTTTCCCAGAGAGAATCCAGAGACTGCTGTCATGGTGGAGTTGACAGCTACTGTAGGCTGTGGCAACAGAGAAGGAATTGTAGTGAGCTGATAGGAAGAAGCAAGCAGTGATACTGAAGTCCTATATACTTGTAGGATACTTTTGTCTGGATAAGATTGCCACGCTGGCATTACATGAAGAGTTTATCCCAGTCCTCCACTAGTAGGACACATAGGTGATGGAGGGGGCAGTAGCAACCCACTCCAGGGCTGGACTGGCATTTGAAAGGGGTTAGGCATTAACTCAGTCTGGTGTGGTTAGTAAATGAACAATTACATCTTCATGTTGTTGCTTCCTTATGTTCCCTCATTTACATGAATATCTGTTCTTTGTCCAACCTCTAGTAACTTAAAATCCAGTTTTATAACTTCGTGCAAGTGTCCTCTCTGCTTGGCAGAGGCTGGCTAAAAGACTTCAAGGCAGTATGGATATGCAAGCTATACACATTTAACACTTGGAGAGGTGGAGAAGAGAGGATGAAAAGTGGCTTACCTGCAGAGAGAGAGGAAAGGAATAATTGCTCAAAGTAACAGGGAGATGTCTAACGGATCATTATTACTACTTAGCCCAGCAAAGCTGCTGGTAAGTATTACTTGCTAGTATGGTGCTTAACACAGTGAGGTATTACTCTATAGTGCTTGTGGATGTGCTGCTGAACAGGCACATTCATTACTTGCTATTGCTTTTTTCCTCTTGTAAGAATGCTATGTGTAAATCTACTGCTACTATTTATAAAACTTATAAAAGTTTGAATAAAACTTTTCCCTCATACTTGCATATTGGTGTATTGCAGAACCAATACTCGTGTCAAAAGATGTTGCAAAGCAGCTGATGAGTATTTGAAAAGTATGCAAGGATGGAAACTGTAATAGGAGGTATGTAGAAATGCCAGTCACTGCATTCTCACTGGCAGTTCAGCTTGAAAATCTCGTAAATCAAGATTAAGGCTTATTATATGGATGGAAAGGGTAAAAGGTGGAACATAGCTTGCTGATCATCTTTGAAAACATAGCTAACCTGCAAGGAAATAGTGGGTTAACTGATTGGTTTAAATCAGCCTTGGTCAGAGGCAAATCTGTATGAAGCTGTGTGTGAAAACTTAGTTGTTTTTTTTACCTAGTGAATTTGCTTATTACAGCTAAAGGTGTTCAACCCTTTTGCAGCAGTAGAGGGGAAAGGTCCCAGTCCTCCGGTCCCTGTGCTTTGGCTC